GGCTGTATGGCTGTATTCACTGTGTCTGTGGGGTGAGGGCGGGGGGCGGGGGGGGAGAAATAGGGAGTGGGGGCGGGGGTGGAGGCGGTGCACCCTCCCAGGTCCGGGTCTTGCCTCCCCCAGGCACCTCACTGTCATCTCCCCACCCTGTGCTGGGACCACATCCTCTGAGCCCCCCACTTCCAGCACTATAAGCTTCCCAGCCAGCAAAAGAGCAAAGGGCCAGTGGGCGCAGGCTCCCAGCCCGGGCAGCCTGGCCAGATAGAGAACTAAAGCACACAGAGGGGACTGGCCGGCTGTGTCCACCGCACTGTGGGTCACAGGGGGCACGCAGCTCTCAGCGCCTCCAGTCCCACACTACAGGGGACTCTGTGGGCGTGGAGATGGCTTTACCCAGCACCTGCAGCCTGGCTGTGTTTCAGCCTCCTGGGCACTGATGGGGAAACTGAGGCCCCGGAGAAGAGGCCACCTGCTGGGAGGTGGCAGAGCCAGGATCTGATCCAACATACCAGAGCACCCACCTGGCCCTCCACCCCTTGACTGGGTACCCAGGAAAGATTCGGGCTTCCAGCCCCCACCCTGCTGCCCCCACCATGCCTAGGAAGGGGCAGTTACAGGACCTGGTCGGTCACTCAGACGGGCAAGGCAGGGACATTCAGGCCTCCCCTCCCCAGCCCCAGTGCCTCAGCCTCCCTGTCAACGGGGCCAGAAACCCTGCCCAGCGGAAGCAAGCCTGGGCAGCCTCGGGCCACCAGCTCTCCTCTGTCTGCCCTTAGTGTGTCCACTGTGAGATAGAATGAACCTCTATCTTCCTGTGATATCCTGCCCAATCGAGCACCCACACACACACATCCTGCCCCCGACCCGGGCACCTGGCCACCCCTCTTGGGCCTTGCCACCGTCAGAAGACTGAGACCCCCACAGTGCTGCCCCCCAGGGCCCTGGGCATCCAGGAGCAGACGCGCGCTGTGCAGGCTGGGGCAGTGGCTCCCTCAAGGAGCTGCCCCTGGGGCGGGGAAATTACTCAACCGAGGGAGGCCGGCCCCTTCCCCCTTCGCCTTTGTACGCAGCTGCCGCCGCCACCCCCTCCCCCTTTTCCATCACCACGGAAACACTGTCAGGAAAGAGCAAAGGGTTCCAAGGACGGGTCTAGGGGCAAAGGTCACAGGGCGCAGTCTGGGCAGGCGGGAGGTGACTCATCGCGCCGGGCCCTCCCAGCACCAGCGTCCCCATGTCCCCCTTGTCAATGACTGCTGTCCACGGCGGAACTGCCGAGGGCTGCTGATGGCCGCGCCAGGACTGGGCTAGCCAGAGCCGGCTGGTCCCGGGCCCCTTCAATGAGGGCGCGGGTGGACGTCCCGCCACCCCTGGGAGGGGCGCGGGGGCGCGATGCGGCTTAACCTCTGCCAAGTTCCCTTTCAGAGCCCAAGCAGAGCCGCTCCGCCGGCCCGCCGACATTTTCCTGCCCGGCGGCCACAAGCGCGCCTCCTCCGCGACAAAGGCCACCCTGGAGGGCCCGACGGAGGGGGGACGGCATTGATAGGCGGGAGGGACTCTGCTAAGTGAAGCAGCCCCGAGGGGCCGGCGACAGTGCAGTGGCCAACAAGGGGCCGCGCCCCCGGCCCACCGCCCTGGGGCGCCGGACTGGTCCTCCTTCGGTCCAGGCACCAGGTGTGCACCGGAGGACGTCGGTCCGTGAGGTCACGCGCCGTGGGAAGCCGGTGGGGCGGGTTGGGGGTCAGTGACGGCTGAGCTGAGCGCCTGGGCCGGGGCTGGAGTCCCCCTCTCCCACCCAAGGTGTGCAGACGGTGCGGCGCTCCTGCAGCAGTGCCCGAGGGCGGCCGGGGCGCACCCGGGGCTCGGGGGACTTTGGCGAACTCGAGGCCCCCTGGGCGCACCCCCAAGAGCTGGCGGCTCCGACCCCGAACGCGCCCTTTCTCCCCACTCCCGGCTCCCGCCCGCGGTCCCTGCCGGCGGCGGCGCCCTGGGCGCCCCGAGCGCACGCACGGACAGCCGCGTGCCGGGCCCTCCCGCGGCGCCCGGTCCTCACCTGGGACATCTGCGGCCGGAAGTTGATGTCCTGGAGGTCGATGGAGCCCGGGGACAGGTTGTGCAGCAGCTGGCACAGCAGGACCCCGTCTCGCAGCGCCTGCGCCAGGTCGAAGACCACGGCCGAGGGCCACACGACGCGGTGG